ATATTTTGCATTGCACATTTTTTTTATATTTTGCAATGCACATTTTGTTTTTTTTATATTTTGCATTGCACATTTTGTTTTGTTTTTTTATATTTTGCATTGCACATTTTGTTTTTTTATATTTTGCATTGCACATTTTTTTATATTTTGCAATGCACATTTTTTAATATTTTGCATTGCAAATTTTGTTTTTTTTATATTTTGCATTGCACATTTTATTTTTTTATATTTTGCATTGCACATTTTTTAATATTTTGCATTGCAAATTTTGTTTTTTTATATTTTGCATTGCACATTTTGTTTTTATATTTTGCATTGCACATTTTTTTATATTTTGCATTGCACTTTTTTATATTTTGCATTGCAAATTTTGTTTTTTTTAATATTTTGCTTTGCACTTTTTTATATTTTGCATTGCACATTTTGTTTTTTTTTATATTTTGCATTGCACATTTTGTTTTTTTTATATTTTGCATTCCACATTTTGTATTTTTCAATATTTTGCATTGCAGATTTTATAATTTGCCATATTTTACATTACACAATTTATATTTTGCATTGTTTCTGCTTTGCTCATTTAATATTTTGCAATATTTTGTATTCCATATTTTATATTTTGCATTGCACCTTTAATTTTTTTAGAATCTCTTGCATATTGTATTCATTTAAAGTTGAAGTCAGAATTCTCAGCCCCCCTGTTTCTTTTTCCCCCCAATTTTTGTTGAACAGAGAGAAGATTTTTTCAACACATTTTACTAGATATTCTTCAAGACAGCAGTATTCAGCTTAGCGTGACATTTAAAGGCTTCACTAGGGTAATTAGGTTAGCTAGGCAGGTTAGGGTAATTAGGCAAGTTATTGTATAATGATGGTTTGTTCTGTAGATTATCGAAAAATATAGCTTAAAGGGGCTAATAATATTGACCTTTAAAATAGTTTTAAAACTATTTAAAACTGCTTTTATTCTAGCCAAAATAAAACAAATAAGACTTTCTCCAGAAGAACAAATATTATCAGACATACTGTGAAAGTTTCCTTGCACTGTTAAACATCATTTGGGAAATATTTGGGCTAATAAGTCTGACTTCAACTGTATATATTAACATTCACATTTTATATTCTTCTCTATGCATCAGTTCGAGTCTGTGCTCATCTTCATGACTCATGCATGAACAGTAATACTGACAGTGTTTCTCTGTGTTTCTCCAGCGTTTTCTGTCCAAGTATGGCTTCATCAAGGCAGCAGGCAGTGAAGAGTCTCAGCTGTCAGAATCTTCAGGTGATCTGGACTTCAGTCTCTCTCTGGATCTCCATGAAGGAGGAACCACATCCGGCTCCAGCAGCTCTGATCTGCAGTTTGTCTCTGCGCTGAGGGATTTCCAGCGGCTCTCAGATCTGCCCGTCACCGGAGTGTTTGACGACGCCACCAAAGCAGCCATGAATAAACCAAGGTTATTACAGTCAGACATGTTTAACTCTCGTTTTTAGTTCTCAAAATTTTTTTTTTTATGAATGGAAAACATGACTGTGTGCTGTTGGGTCGTTTTCATCCACTGAGCTGATTTTGAGTCTTAATTTGACCACAACTTTCTCTGTGTTTCAGCAAATGTGATGATTTTTGCTGCTGACAAATCTTATGTTGACACTAATTTTGGGAAAATGCTTTGAGATTTTTCAAAAGCTCAACAATACACTCTGTTCAGATTGACTCCTCTTTGGTGATGTTGCTGCTGTTTTTGCTCCATTCACTTCCATTATAATCTCATTTATTAATTGCAAAGTCATGACAGCAGATAATCATGCATTCTTCGCTGTTGCTGGTTTTAAACCATCAGCCTAAATGAGGGCATCTTCTTTATTCTCCAGTTTTGTCTGTTACTGTCTGTTACTGACTAATCTAGTGTATCTGCACAAATATGTTACTGTAAAACATCCTGTGGAAAATCTGAATGTTAAAATAGAGATCTGTTAGGGGTCGGCTCGTATATGCTGAACACTGCAGTTTTAATTTGCTAAAATAACTTTGTAATAATCCCAGATGTGGCGTTATGGATGACGATCAAGAACTGAAGGATGTCACTGGATCCAACAGCACCAGGAATCACATCAGAACTAGCACCAATACATCCCATAATCATGAGCATCAGGTGCGTGAGAAACAACACCTGTCTGCTCTTAAGAGTTTCATTTGCATTGTTATGCAAACATAAAATATACGGAACATAACGTACCTTATCAAGTATAGAATCAAAACCAGTTGTGAGTATTTTCCTCAATTATTATCGATTCTGTCAGTGATACCTTAAAATGTTACGTTTTTAATGAATGCATTTCCCACTCAATCAATGTTGAATTATTCTTTTCATTTTCAAAACAGTGTTTTTGTTTTTTAAAAACCGATTTTTTTAATTGCAATTTTAATTTTATAATTTTATATTTTGCAATAATTTGCATTGTACATTTAGTATATTATATTGCACATTTTAGACATTACCACATTTTGCAGTACATATTTAATATTTTTTTTTGCACCTTTTAAATTTTCATTACACATTTTTGCATTGCACGTTTTAAAAAATAGCATTTTTAATAGCATTTTTAATCAATTAAAACATTTAAATTAATCTTAGTTAATTTTGTTTAATCTTATTTATGTGTGTAATGTTGGTTTTATTTACTTCAATACTATTTTAAATTTGCTGGAAATCAAATTAGTTTAGTTTAGTTTTTTAAAATTTATTATTGTACATTTTTAAAGTTTATTTCAGTAATGAAAAAGTTTTTGACCTATATACTGTGCTCAGCATGAATCTCCTTTTTCTATTTCTCAATGAATAACATGATATTTTTATTTTTTAATTTTTTCATACTTTTGCCAGAAGCAATAAAAAACTTAAATTTGTAATATTTGGGAACATAAAATATATGAAATATAGCATGCTTTAAATGCTTAAATATGCAATCAAAATTAATTGTGTTATTCTCAATTATTATTGATGGGTACTTGAGTGTTAATACCCAGAAACAACTTTATTTATACTATATTTTAATGCACATCCTGCTTTGTAATGCTTTTAAAATAGCTATTCTTTCTTTTTCTTTCTTTTTTATAATATATATATATATATATATATATATATATATATATATATATATATATATATATATATATATATATATATATATATATATAGAGATAGATATAGAGAGAGAGA